TCGACTTGCAATCCAATCATCCACCCTTGGAGCACCCACCTGCTTGGTTTTGGCCGTCTCCTCATTAACCTCTCTAGAGACTTCCTCTTCAAAGTAAAAGACAAATGTGTCTTACTCATAAGTCATCCTAGAAAACACCTCTTAAATTTCAAAGCATTATTAAGCATTTTATAGGTGGCATTCCATTTTGTGGCAACATCAAAAGTGATATTTGACATCTTATCAACACTCATCAAGACACAATACTCCCTAAAAGCATCCAACCTTGCGGACGATGAGTGAATGAACTTGACACAATTTATTATCCCCTTAATCTTGTGACAAGGATATGCCATTACATACTTAACTATCAAATTAAGAATGTGACAAGCACATCTCATGTGAAAGCGAGCCCCATCAAGTAAAAGAGTTTCATTCGACTATAGTCTTCTCTTTATATATGCAATGGGGGTGTTATTTGCACTAGCATTGTCGACAGTAATGTTAAATACCTTGTATGTGTCCCATTCATTTAAACACATATCCAGACACCGCCTAGTGTCATCACATTTGTGAGACGTAATTTGGACAAAGTTTATGATCCTCTTAGGCTATCTCTAACCCAAGGGCTAAAACCCCAAAATTTTGCCCTATATTTTCAACATTCACTATACGTATGAGGTAAGCCAATTTTTTCTCCAACGGCAAGGGACCTATATTTCTAATCCCCCAACTTTATAATTTGTTAAATTTTTGTATTTCGTTGATTTTTTTGCTAATAATTTGAGATTAATTTTGTATAATCTACCTTGTTTTATTTTTACGAACATTTTGATGTAAAGGAATTTGAATTCCAAAGAAAAAAAAGCTGTTGAGAAAATTGATTTTTTATGGATCAGTGAACAAATTAGGTGCACTTATAGAGTTCTGAATGAGTTTTGATGTCGGATTTGATTTGTATTAATAAATAATATTATTTTGACTATTGGATTTAAAATTGGGCCATTGGATTTTTTTTTTTATTATTGTTAAAATTGATTAAATTGAATTTGAGTCATTGGATTTAAAAAGAATGTAGATGAGCGTGCCACACTAAATCAAAACTCAGGAGGCGCGACAACCATTGGATGCAATGGCATGCCAATCTAGGTCGTAGAAAGTGTGTTACTTGTCCGCTTGTCCGCAACCAATCTCGGCTCATGTTACACTTGCATGCCTTATCCACCTGGGGTGGGAGCAACCCTAAATTCCCCCTTAAACCCAAAATCCTAAAATTCCCACCCCTAAAATACACCTATTGGAGAGGTTATGGGCCCAAACTTTGGGCTTTTTTTTTTTTTTGGTTCCCACCCCCTTTGAAGATTGCCTTGTGGAATTGTCGATGATTGTCCCAAAAAAGCCGGTGATAATTAATATTTTAGATCAATGTCCAAGTATCGGTAATGATTCTCACACTCAATCCACCAATCAAAATCATGATTTTACATGCTCCTTAAAAAATAGAAAAAAAAATGAAAAAAAAAAAAGTCTAAACCGCCGCCGCCACCTTGTGCCTATTAGGAAATTGATACTTTGGATTCAAATCATAGGTCCAATCTATAAAGTCTGCTTGATCAATAACCCTAAAAGGTACATCCGACTTTATATTATACTTGACACACTTCAAATAAAGTCTTTGTTATTGAAATCTGTTGGTCCTCGGGCTTTGCAAATAGTGCATTCCGCCAACCATACTCTCAACCTACTAACTGAACTTAGCCCCTTATCGCCATCCACACCAGGATCATCGTGATAGCCATCTTCATCAAAATCATCATGGAAATATTGTTCACCTGATTGGGAAAAGGTGTTTGAGGGAGTTTCTATTTGAGAGACTGTATGTGGAATTTGGCTTGTATGTTTTTGGAGACGTATTAGATTAATATTAAGTCCTTCCATCCTGACAATGCATAATAATATATCACAATGATCAATTCAATATATCAATATCAAAGATTTCAACTTTCAATATATAAGACATTAAAATAATATATCACACCCAAAATAAATAGTAGAAAGAAAAAAAAAACCCTAAAATAAATAGGACGTGAAAACCCAAAATAAATAGCAGCAACCATTCCCATTTATATATCTCACACAATTTCAATTAGAGATTCAAATTATAAGCAAGTTAAAACCCTATTAATGTCGAAAATTAAATCCATAATTCACAATCACAAATTCTAAAATTATGAAAAACATCACCAACCCCAATAATTCACAATTACAAATTAAAACCTTAATTCATCTCATACTTGCATTCTGAAATGGGCGAAAATACCTCTATTGTGCTAGGACGACTCAACGGGTAAGGTTCGTCTCAAACTGCTCCAAGAAAGCTTCTCCTTTAAAAATAATTAGCCTAGATGATTAAAGTTTTAGAATTAGTAAAACTATATCAAACCAGAATTTAATTTCAAAATCCCCAAATTGAAAACTAATTTCAAAATTCCCAAATCGAAACACTAATTACAATTCAAAATCCACAAAACAAAACCCTAATTCCATTTCATAATCCCCAAATCGAAACCCTAATTCCTTTTCAAAATCCTTAACTTGAAATGCTAATTTCATTTCAATGCATCATCATCATTAGTTTGATTAATTTCTTCTTAGGAGATGCATCTTGATCACATGCATCATCATGATCAATTCGGTTGAGGTTAAATTTCCAACCAACAAATAACTATGTACACAAAATGGTTCATCCATCCGAATTGGGTTTCAAGTTTTTTTTAATCTTGGTGTGCTCATATCTACCTCTGTGTTGCGAATTGTCCCTTAATGAGACATTATACCCTGCATTAGGGAGAGAAACGACAATTTTCAAGAAAGTCGTGAATTAGCATTGAACACCCGCTTTTGTCTCATAAGTGACGTATATTAATCTGTTACATGTTGATGCATGACAGATATATAGGTTCCAAATGTTAAACTCCCCAGAAGTGGATATACATATAGTTCAAGCCCAATTTAAATAAGGGAACTTTAACGAAAAGCTCCTAGTACTGTTTACTTTAACGAAAAACCATATTTTTACACTAAAAAATCAATTCTGATACTATTCACTTAACCCTTTATTTTATCCTTATCGTTAAAACTCAAAGTTTTCAAACTTTTTTCATTAGTTTTTCTTTTAAATAACTCTTCAAAGGAGGTTACGATTGAATTCTCTAAGTACGTAATTCATCTTATGGAGACCCAAAGAGGCACTGGTACCCAAACAATGAGATATTGTTGACCTTAAAAATTGCAAAACTTAAGTGGTGCGCATACTGAGTAGCTAAGAGCTAATTAGTTTCCTGAGTGTCTTGAATGCTGAAGTAGGCATGCCAACTCATCGCCGAGCTCTACTAGGCGAGCTATTCTTGATATGGTGATGTGGTAAATTGCATTGCTAACTGTTGAATCGAGCGACTTTGGCCGAGAAGAGAATACTATTGGCCTTGAGTTCTAAAACATGAAGATAAGGTTATGCATCACTGTGAAGTTTTGCATCCTATGCACCAAGTTCAGCAGCCTCAACTATATTGGTAAAATAGGTTGCAAAATCGGTCAAAACTGATTCTGCAACTCCGGCCCGTCTATCTAGTCAGATTTTCTTTTTTGAAAACATAATCTTTTAGCGGATGCAGAAAAATGAACAATTCTGATCATTGATATCACATTCCGGTGTTTATGATTAACTGAAATATGAGTTGATATATAGTTTCTAGAGACTTTATAAACTCTAAGCAATATTTTCATTAACCATAAAAATTTGAACGTGATATCAATGATCCGAACCGTTCATCTTTATGCATCCACCGAACGATCATGTTTTCAAAAAAGAAAATTTGAAAAAAAGAAACTCGATGAGAAGAATGAAGCGTAAATGTAAACAACAATCAACATTTACTTTAAATGTATGGTTATGGGATTATGGTGGCGAACTTCCGAATTACCTCTTCACATAAGTTGTAGCTCTTGTCATTATGAGTGTTTGTATACTTTTTTTTCACACTTTGATATTAATTAAAAAACTTACTACAACAATAGCATAGGATTTAATCTTACATAACTAAGATTAAATCCTTATCGTTGGATTCTTTGATGTCACTTACGTTTTTAGTGTTACGTTTTCATTTTATTGTTTATTGATTTGAAATATATTTTTGTTAAAGGGTAAAAGGTCGGGTCGTATTACCCATTAATATTAATGTGTCGGGTTTGAGTCGGGTCATAATAACGGGTGTTACACGATACTATCTGTTAAGATATCGAATATGTGACAAAAATCACATGAACATGGAAACTACAACACGAATGTCAAGTCTACCTATGGCCATCATAGTTCATATACAACAAAAAAGAATAGAGTGAGTGATCAGCAGCAGCCATATTAGGTCTTCATTTATTTATTTATTTTCCTCTTTTCGTTTTATGTAATTATTTTTAAATAGGATCAAGTTATCCACTTGTTTAATAGGATTCACTGAGAAAGTTTATTTCTTGAGTTTCTGGACTATTTGAATATCTACTTGATTATTAACCATTTTATATACACTACCGTAAGTGCATAGTAATTTATAACAATGTAGTAATGGAACCAAAGAAGAAGATCCTTGTCACATTCATATCCACAATCTCAGCCTCACATGGATCACAGTGAAGCATCCAAGCAGGGATTTTTCACGTTCGATGATTTACACCTTCTGGTAGTATGAATGGTTGAGCATTCGTGCTACAATCTCTTTAAACTATCCGATCAACGAGAAATGTTTGGTTCGAACATGAGACCTCTTCTTTATATTCCTCGTAAAATGACGCTACTTTGAATACATCATTGATATTTGACCAACTTAGAAAAGATGGTAGAGCACAAGGCTGGCATAAATATCTTAAGGGAACTGTTATTTATTTTTCGTAAAAGAGAAGTACGAGTTGACCATTTTGGAATGCCTCCAGCTTTCTCTCTAATTCGATTGCATCTTTACAACCCGTAAACAGCAAATTTTGAACTCCATTGATAAAATAATAACTACAAACTGTACTTTTACAAACCTCACGAGGATCTCCATCCCTAGAATACAATGATTTCGATTTCATGCCGTTTCAAGAGTCCTCTCAACACTATAAAGTGGAGACCCCACGGGAAATAAATTGCAACTATAAGACGATGAAATTTACCATTACACTACAGGCAATCATGTACACATGTTAAACAAGCTCCAAACATCTCACTTTTTACTTCTCGATGCCCTGCTGCAGATACTGTATCAAGTCGTACCCAGCGGTGGTCCATTTGTTGTAGGCATCCGTGCATACATGGATCATAAAATTGGCCGCCTCACGCTCACTCATCTCTGGATGAAATCTCTTACGTAGATTTCCAATAGGGTCGCCCCGGCTGAAGCAAGGTAGCCCACTGTCTAGCATTAGGGATACCGTGTTGATAATCCCATCCATGTATCGGCGGGCAGCAAGGTAACCCTTAACGCACAAGCTGTGGATAGATTATGTAGAACATAACACAAGTTTAAACGTGTAGCCAAAATAAGAATGAACATAAAAAGAGTATCCAGAAACATAGTGAGGAAAAAGAAAACAAAAAGGACAAACCCCTTCATACCTCACAAATTGGTTCCAGGTATCGCTTTTCATAACCCCCGAAGGGTCTAATAATTGTGTCATCTCGTGGCTGAGCTTAAAGTGTGCACTTTCAAAACGCATGTTTCCACCTGGTGAGGTTTCCAAAATGAAACCAAAATCAATATGAACAAGCCTTCCCACGCTGCATTGTCAGGCATGTCAACATCAGTTTTAGATCAGTCCTTTCACAAATTGTGCATCTTATATATTTCAAGTATCGCATTTGTAAGTGGCTAATAATACAGATTAATGGTTTGAAGATCAGGTTTTGAGTTTGGTATGCTGTTTTCATATGTGTGGGGTGCCTCGTATGCATATAAGTCTCAGTCCTTACAAACCCAAAATTTGACAAAAATAACAAATAAGAAAATAAGAAAGTAAAAGGCTGGTTTGAAGATTGTACCTGTCAAACAGAAGATTCCCATTGTGTCGATCCTTCGGTTGAAGTAAAAGGCTGGCAACTGCATAACCAGCACTGCTAATGATGAAGTTTTCACGTGCAGCTTCAAAGCTGGCAGACCCAACAGGTCCGTAATCCTGTTGAAAAATCTCATACAAACCACCATCAGTAGTTTCACCCATCTGACTTCTGCTCCGCGTATTAGGTACAACCTGCAATAAAAAACATATTGAGAGAAAAAACCAAATGTGCACGTACTACTATGATCAGCCATTTAGCTCAAGGGAAGAAGCTTGGGGAGACCATATCACCCCAAGTTAATACATCCCTTGGAATGGCGGTTCCAACATCAGATTACTCCTTCGAATCTTCGATACTACTCAATGCAATGGCATTCATAATTCACAGTAGAGCTGAAGATATGAATGTCTAATAAATCAAAATTCAATATCAATTGGCTAAGTGATACAATCGATGTTGGAGTCTACTTTTGGTTCACTTGAGTCTTAGAACGTCTATAACTTCTGCTACTCCAGCATAGACACAGAACCTTGATGAAAGTAGTTGTAGGCAATCAAATCTAAAACCCATGCTTAAAATATACTGAATAGATCCCAGCTTCACAAAAGTTTATGCCAAAGCACAAAAACCAAGGGATTTCTTTCCACCAAGTAGGTTACAAAAAGACAAGAAAAATGTTGCGGCCCTTCAAATCCCTCAAACAACCATTGGGCGTAGCCTTGTGGCAGGAAAAGAGTTGATCCCCGATTTCTCGTCTGGCAGCAAAAATATTCTAGTTTTACAAACTAGTTGGAGGACAATTTAAAATAGAAAAAGCGGCTCCACTATTTTTTTTCTTCATGTTCAAGGGGCAGATAAAAACAAAAAAATTATGTGGAGCAGATTATTAAAAACCATTGCTGACATTAGGCAACAGCTAGCTTCAAGGAAAAACTTACATTTTTTAAACTTCTTTCTCCAAATACTGGAGTATTGAACCATATGCCAGAGCATTAGAAGAAAGAAGTCAAATGTAGCCAGAAGCTTGTTAGATGTGAAAAACCGTGTGTTCATTCAGGCGACACTTTATCATCCACATTGTATTTCTCTTTTATCAATAAAAACTGTGTTTCTCGTATAAAAAAGTAGTCTGAAGCTTGCCTAGTCCACCCTATGTAAGGTACTGACTAGAAAGTCCAAATAATGAAAATGGAAAATGAACTGGATTGTAATATCTAAAGCTTCGCATGGAATCGGATAAATTAAAGAATAAAATCTCAGCAAAATAACACGCATGCAGGACCCAGGACCCCCAAAAGTAGTTGACAGAGATTCAAACCTCAATAATGCCTCTCTCTGGGCCAGTTGGGAGTACACCATAGGGAAACAAATAAAGATTAATTCCAACTGCTTCAAATATGTCTCTCAATAGGGAAATCACTTGAAGAGCAAGAACATCCTGGCGGCAATCATCTCCAACCTTCAAGAAAGGGAGCTTTTTTAAGCCATGAAATAAGAAAAAACTTGAACATTACTAATAATTCAAATTGTCATAGGAATAAATAAGAGGTCACAAGTTTAAAATCAGGAAACTAATTGTCTGCATAATTTCACTTCTTTATCCATCATAACCCATAGTACAAACCAAACAATATAATAGATAAGCATGGTTTTGTAAAAAAGAAAAGGTCGAAGAAAGGCTTGCTGAGCAGGTTGAGTGATCATCATTAAGGGGTAATCACAATGGATTTTTCTGTGGAAAATAGAAGCCTTTCAACTTTACAAGGTCTAATCAATTTGAGATGTAAGTGGATAAGCTTACCTTGAAAATACAAGCTTGTGGTTTTACATCACTGCGGTCCCCAACCCGATCGACTACATTAAATGTTATCATTATAGGAACTTTTGCTGCAGATTGCAAGGGTATTCCACTATCAACCTGAATGCCCCTTACAAGCTTGGTAGGAGCAGTTGGCAAATAGAGATCCTCTCCCTCAACTTCAATTTTCTCCAACTCTCTGTTTAAGCATATTGCCTATTAGATACAACGGCATACACATAGACACAAACATATGCACGCATGCGCTCATGTGTGCATTCACAAAAGATGAGCTCAAGCATCCAAATATCATTTTTATAGAAAAATCCAGAGAGTACAAGCATACCTCCGGATACCAGCTCGGCGTTCTTCCTTTGGAAGTGGAAAGAGTACACCAGAAATAGATGTAACCTTGTCAAAGAAATCAAATTCTCTTTGAAAAATATCAAGTGCCTTGGGACTGAAACCATCAATGATATGCTGTCTAACAAGAGGCAACAACTCCTGAAACGAACTATTCTGAAATGGAAACATCAATAAATACAAGTTATTCAACAACAAAAGGTGAAGAAACCCAGACCATGTGTACTCATGTGAATATTCAATTTACCTAATACCCTTTACTGAAGTTTGCGCCGTTGATATATCTTAGCTTGTACTATTCTATACATATAAGATCAAATATACATGCTGAATGGAACTACAATTTTTCTGGCGACACAAGCAGTTTTGGATTTTTGTTTTTAAAATTAAAAATGATAAAACATCAAACCGGTATACAAACTTCTTGTACCACAACTACGCATATTGAACCTTCCAACTAGATTACAAGTCCAGTGAAAAAGTTTAATCTAAGTCATGTTGTGATTTTCTACAAAAATGCAAGGAATTGGTTCCCTGAAAATTCATACTGCCCAGCTTCAGTGATTCAGAATGCAGGGATGACCTATTATAGAATAATGCACTATCTATCACCAATCACCATAAATTCACTTATTAACTCATAAACCACATTTAACACATGGTTACCAACAGTTTTTGCACTCAGAGTACAATAGAAAGCTATTACAGAAAATGATGCAAACCTTTAACTGAAGATTTTCCACTCCAATAAGACATAAAGTACCATTGTAAACATTTTGTGTAACTCCTAGGCAGATATATAGTATATGACAGCATATTGGGTAGCGGATAACCCCGTTTCTGTGCATCTCTTAATTTATACTTCTTTCAAATATGACTTTATGATATCATTTATACTTCTTCAGCACAATTCCAACCAACGGAATCAAAAATTTATGTATCAGTTATCAACTTTCCAACATGAATCAAATTCCATGGTATCACAAAAAAAACTTAAATATGCCCAAAAGTTTGGTTGCTAGTTGACAGCACAAGCACGTAATGAAAACACAAGGCCATTCTCAGATTGTAGGAATACCTTCACAGGAACAGCATCTTTTTTTTCCGGTTCTGGAACAAACGTCTCACCCTGCCATTAATAAACACACAATCAAATTCTCTGAGAATTTCAAGTTTTGTGGATTTTTCTCTTCATTCTTTGAGCTGGAATTTTGATTTCAGAAGAAATTTGAATGAGTTGGAGATAGAAGAGGCGGCTAGGTTATTACAAAAGGTGGAAAATGTTCGTTTGATTCAATCAAGAGCAGATAACAGAAGGTGGAAACTAGACTTATCAGGATTGTTCACTTGCAAATCCTATAGCTCTTTCTTGAGCAACAATGGAACTGTGCAACATTTTCCACCCTTTTCTCAGATTTGGAAATCAAAAGCTCCTCCAAAGGTCAAAGTTCTTGTGTGGTTAGTGGCTACTGGGAAGGTCAACACTTGTGATCAAGTTCAAAGGCGAAGGCCTTTTATTTGTATTTCTCCCCATTGGTGCAGTTTGTGTAAATCTGAGGAGGAAAGTGTTAATCATATTTTTCTCCATCTTTCTTACTCAATACAGTTGTGGTGGAAATTGGTTCAGGAAGTTAAGAGTTAGTTGGGTCATTCCAAAGGGCTGTTTTGAGCTTCTAAGCACCAATTTTGAGGCTTTAGGAAAGGGGAGGAGAGCTAGAGCTTTGTGGGGCTGTTTGGTGTTGGCAGTTTTTTGGAACATTTGGTTGGAGCATAACAGAAGAGTTTTTGAGGATTATAATGGAGTGGGGGTAGCAGAACTATGGGGTAGAGTAAGATACTGGGCATCAGTTTCGAATGAGTACAAGGATTATTCTCTTTCTCATATAGTGTGGGATATGTTAGCAGCCGTTAAATGATTATGGTTGAGGTTATGTTACTTGTAATCAGATCTGTTTGAGAGGTCTTAGCTAGCTTTGCTACATGGTGGATTTCTTATCCACTATTTTGTAATTCTTGTTTTTATTTTATGAAGTGTTATCGTTTCTTCTCAAAAAAAAAAAAAAAATCTCTGAAAAAGATATGCATGTGGACTTTCGTGTATGTGTGTGCATCTGTGTGTGTGTGTGTATGAGAGAGAGAGAGAGAGAGAGAGAGAGAGAGAGGGAGAAGTGGAGAAAGTAGATTAGTTTCGCAGAATCGGGCCTCACCTGTAAGTGCCAGATTAAAATATGGGCAAATATATCACTTCTTTGTGCTGCTCTAAGCAGATATCCTTCTACTAACCTCTGCAAAACAAATTACATAGAGATAAAATATATAATGACTTGCAATGCGTTGGGATGTCCTATTGGGTCAGTCATTTTGGGGCAAGCGGGTCATTTATGATGAATTGAGATACCAACTTATGATATTAAGGATCTTGTCTTGACTGGACACATTCATTTCACCCATTAGAAACTCCTCAAAATTGCAGCAGCAGCAGCAGCAGCAGCAGTAGTAGTAGTATTATAAAGAGAACAGAAGTCTAAACATAAAACAAGAAATCACAGTTTTTGGTTTTCTGATACATGGAATAACCACATTAAATGTTTCAGAACTGTGACATCTTTAGTCGTCTATAAAAAAGAATCATCCAAACGTAAATGGAAAAGGCACAATCATGGGTAGTAAGTTCACCCAATATGAATAGAAAACCATACATCTTATCTTCACGTTAATAAAAAAGAATCCTACATTTGGCTGCTTTAGTAGTAGTACATGGTATGAGACTAAGAAGTCGAGGATTCTAAAAACTTGATTGGGCATTTGATAAGAATGAAGAATGGGATACAATCAAGTAAAACTGAGCTTTAGTTATGCAAATAAACTTTTCAATTGCATCCCTAATACAAAACTAAATGAAAATGAAATGTAGATTGAGGAATAAATTGAAAACTTCTATTAACTCACCTCATCATCATAACGCAGAGCCTGCACTAGCTGTGGCATGAAGAAAGTTACTCGTTCAGGAGGATAAGACTCCAGAACCCTAAGAACATATGCCATGACACGAGGATGGCCCTTATATGCAGGAGTAAGGAACTCAAGAGCTTGTGTAATTGAGCAAGCAGCCCAGTGTGGCAATTGTTGCAAAAGTGCCGAATTTTCATCAACTGCCTTTGGGGTAACAAAATATGGCAATGCTTCCGGAATGGAGCGGATATCAACGATATGTGACTGCAAAGAAACCCCAGTTCAAGCAAGATGTAATAACGTACAAACATCCCAGGAGCAACAAATGGGAATAAGATTGGTATCAGTAAAGAAATTATAACAAAGGCAAAATTATTGTAACTGAATGACCCACCCTCTAATTATAATTCAAAATACACAGATTTTTTGGACTTAGTAGATAATAATGTTTCCAACTAAAAGGGTGCTTTGGCTCATTTTTAACAAGCCCGACCGGCATTATGGGGACATGCAAACACCCCTGCCTAAAAGGCAATTTGTACACTATAGTGTGTATGTGTTTGTGTGCGCACATGTGCGTGTGGATGTACATATTAATCAGTATTTTAAAAAACTAGCCTCGGGGCGCGGTTAGGCTCCCTTGGAGGCAGGGCTGCTGGGTTTTCGCCTCTATTTTGTGAGGGTAGGCGTAAGGCGGCATCAGGGCGCGCCTAGGTGGCTGAGGCGCGCGCCCAAGCTTTCATTTGGGCCTTTATTTCCTTCCAATTCCAGGTCTATTTCTGCCGTTCCTCTGTTTCTGCCATTCCTCTGTATGCCGTTCTAGTTTCAAGGAAGAAGAAAGATAGAAAGTTTCTCTCTCCAAATCCTAATGGCAAAATCTAACTCAACTCTATTTTATTTATTTTGGTTTTTTATTAATTATTGCCCATTCAGATTCTGCCACCTAGCATTTTGATTAGCCAAGGTTTATTTCTCTTCAAATTTCCTACAACTACTCCACTCAGCCGTTATTTCCTTTAAATTCCCTATAATAATTGCTCCACTCAATTTTTATTTCATTTTAAATTCCCTATAATAGCTCCACTTAGCCTTTATTTCCTTTTGAATTGCCAATAATTGTGGCCACTCAATCTTATTTCTCTTGAAGTTCACTATAATTGCTTACAATAAAATATATAATTACAACATTTTAAGACTATATGACATAATTTCCAAGTACAACTACACTTATGAAGAAGAAGATATTACCTTTGGCTTAGTTATAATTATATTTGTTTTACAAAGTTTTATGCCATATATATATATATGTATGCAATATATATTAAGTTATTTAGGTCCCGTGAGGCTTCACCTCACGCCTAGGCAGGGCTAGTCATCGAACGCCTCGCCTACGCCTCCGCCTTTTAATACATTGATATTAATGTATATCAGTTACATGTATTTATAAATATATATAAGGCAACGGATAAGCACAGGAATGTTCTCAAGCTTACAGAAGTACCCCTTCCTCATCTATACTATTATTAAGAGAACCCTCCTTGTCAACTTTTTGCCACTTTTTTTCCTTTTTTGCCCTCACTTTTGATACATAATATTGACATAAGGTGGGCAAAATAGTAATTTTGTGTCTGAACTTTTTGCCCCTTTTTTCCTATTTTGCCCTCACTTTTGATACACAATATTGACATAAGGTGGGCAAAATAGTAATTTTGTGTCTGAACTTTTTGCCCCTTTTTTCCTATTTTGCCTTCACTTTTAATACACAACATTTACATAAGGAGGGCAAAATAGTAATTTTATATCTTTTGAGAAAATGACAATCATATCCCTATTTTACCCTCACTTTTGATACACAATATTTACATAAGATAAAAAATATGCACTTATTAAGAGAAATTGTCCCACCATTTTTTCATATAGGTAAGTGAAATCATGATGTTTTATGGATAGTTTGAATGAACTGAAGCGGTTGCGCTTGAGGAGAATGTGGGAGGAGATGAGCGGTTGAAGAGGCTTTAATTTTGTCAATCATATCCCTATTTTTCCTATTTTACCCTCATTTTTTGAGAAAATGACAATCATATACCTATTTTTCCTATGACAAAAAAATATGCCCTTATTAAGATAAACTGTCTCATCATCATTGTCTCATACTCTTTTTTTAAATTTTCAAAACTAATCACACTCCTTGATAGAAAAACAAAAAATAAAATGAAATTGTTCAAACACATAGTGTGTGCTCATCTTCTAGTACCACTTATATGCCCTTATTAAGATAAATTGTCTCATCATCATTGTCTCATACTTAAATTTTCAAAACTAATCACACTCCTTCATAAAAAAACAAAAAATAAAATGAAATTGTTCACACACACAGTGTGTGCTCATCTTCTAGTACCACTTAAGAAAACATTACACCAAATAGCAATAGATTAGTGATGCTTAAAAAACATTAAAAAGTGACTAACAGTTACGTAATACCCAAGAAGAATGCAGTTAGGTCAGTCAGAATTTTAAAAACAACAAATTGTTCTGTTAATAAGCAGTCTTTTCTTGACCACTTATGGCCTCTGCCAATCTGAACAGACGATGCACAATGTCTCATAAATTAAATTTTCCACATGACAATTATTTAAGACTCGTAAATAACTATACTAGCTCAACTAATATGCAAAATCCACAATTTACCATTCCTACTCTCTGGACTACTGACACATACCTGAACCAACTGGGTAACCTCAGCCTTTAAGAATGTGTTTGTTGGGAACCGTGACGCCAGGGATAAAGCAATTCGAGGATCTACAGCAAAAGCAGTCCTAGCATGCTCAATCCATTTATCCGAACTAATTTTTTGCCGTGAAGAGGCACTCTCCCTGAGAATAATAGGAAATCCAAAAGCAGTAAGTTACCTTTTACATAGAACCATGGGTATTAAGAAAAGGTTCTAAGTACTTTACAATGTGATGAATAATGTACCAACAAAATATTACTTTGTATTAGTTGGTTGCGACCAAACTTCAAGCCTGTCACCCTCATGCTGGCATAGCATCAAAAGTAGCTGCTTCCGTTTTTCTCTTCCCACAGCATAGTTCTCCATTTGACCCCAGACTGGATGATGTTGATCGTTCTGCAATTATTAAGTGACTTTATGGATATATTGCAGAAAAACCTTACAGAACCCAGTAATAGGGCAAAAATAAAATAAGAATGCATTCGACATCCTGTTCATGTAGAAGAATCTTTAAATCCAAACTCTACTGGCTGCAACCTTGCGCTGAAAACATGGTCATCTTACCGCATCAACCAAAGTGGTCCCATTTTCTCGTCCTCTCCCTTTTGAATCAGAATAGACTGCTGCATCTACTCGCTCATTTGAAAGGTAGTGGACAAATAAAGAGATGGATTGAGCTTCACTCTGAGAAAAATTCATATAGCTAGTATCATACCATTCAGGCTCGTATGCAAACCAACCTAAAGAGGTCCTGTAACATGGATCAAGAGAAAGTTTCAACCAAATGGGAAAATGGAAACATATTCAAGTTGAACAAGAATTAATTAGAAGAACACCTACTGACTTGGAGAAGTATGCATACACCTACTGACTTGGAGAAGTATGCATACACGGGACATACAGTTTCAACCTCTTATTGAATTAAACAGACAGGCTTAATATGATAAATTTCATATCAATATTGGCAAGAGATAATACACCAAATGCTAAAGTAATCAAATTACCAATTCCATAAAAAAGCGCATTTCCCACCCTCTCGCAACCAAATACCTTTTTCTTTTTTTTAACAACCATAAAACTACAAAGAGTACCCATATTATTGACAGAAGTCGCAGTCATGTACTATCTGCAATGGAGTGGGTATGGACCAACAAGCAAAAAAAACAAATACAAGCTCCTACATCAACCTTCCAAATATTTTTGCATATTTGGCAGCCAATCCAGATTAAGGGGTAAACAGAACCTTAATTAATGTTTTGACCAAAAAATAAAAAAAAGAACCTTCATTAATGAAGAAACCTAATAACCATACAAAGATCCACTCTGTTAGTTGCATACCAATGTGTTAGGTTGAAATAAGGTTGAAATAAGGATCCTAGTATTTGATCTACTGTATCTCAGATTGTTTAACAGCAAACTCTAACATACAGCTACCCTGTTCGCAATTATTTCCCATGATTTGTGGAGTAAATACGTTCCAACTCCATCCTATAGAGTTTCCTTTCCAAGGATCCAAGATAGAATACTGACTATAAAATCATGTATTTGTATACTTTGCATATTCCTGTAATTTTCAGATAATTACAAACTTGGGAAAATTAAGACAAGTTGAACCAATTTGGTAGCATCAACAAATCATTTTTAATCTCAAGGTTGTTATTTATGGGAAACAAATTTTATAACATTAAAATTATATAAAAAGTGAACAAGATGGCCACAACTTGGAAAGCAAAAGTGAAAGAAAAATCATAGAACCCAGTATTCTGAAACCACTAGACATAAACACAGAACACACATCCTAGACATATAACAGCGTAATGCATTGGTGCATATACAATTTAGCTATTGAATTGTATAGAATGCAATCGATGGTACACATGGTTGCTTTGAACTCTAAAAAAGGTCGTACCCAGTGCACAAGGCTCCCGCTTTACGCAGGGTCTGGGAGAGGTGAATGTCGGCTAGCCTTACCCCCATTTATGGAGAGGCTGCTCCCAAGTCTCGAACCCGAGACCTACCGCTCATGGGCGAAGGCACTTGCCATCACACCAAGTGCGACCTCTTGGTTGCTTTGAACTCTAATGAGAGAAAAAGTTGTATAAATAAACATTGCTAGGCCAAATGAATATCAATGAAATAGGCATTCTTATACACGAAGACAAGGAATTGTGTTACAGGTATGTACTACCACGAAAAATGATTTCACGCCCCTGTTATCCCCATGCACTCCCCTGCTTATTTATGGCCTTTGGATTGCATAAATCAAATGCTAATTAAGTGCAGAAATAAGCCGGAGTACAAAACGAGATAAGGTTTGTGCGGAAATCATTCCCTTACTAACACATGCAAGTCAAGGTGCCCTAATATGATCAATAGACTGTAAATAAATATAATAATTATGAACAAATTCACAGCAAAAGACTTAAATGCAGTAACCTATATATCCGATCTTCCAGCAACTGAAGCCCTGTTTTAAAGTTCTGCAAATTTCGCTGGGATTGGCATGAGCAGAACTTGAGTCCAAGAAGCATGACAGTAAAAAAGGTACCAGTAGCAGCAGGATGGCGCGAAAAATTCCAGGGAATCTTTGTTATCCCTTGCAACATTCGTCCAAGAAGCAAGAGCTGCTCAACACTGTTGTGTCGAACTACCTATACAGCCAAAGAGAATACATAGGTGAGCACATATAAACCAGGTTAAGAGCCACAAGCCACAGTATATAACTAAACAAGGACCATTTTTTAAACGGTAACTTTTTCCATTGAGGATAATTTCTCCAATTGGAACACCATACATAGAACAAAATAAACAAAAATGATGTAGGACAAGATAGGGGTCGACTAAAGTAGCTAAAATCAGAGAAAAGAAAATGGTGGAAGATAGGCAAGAGACAGTGCTAGAAAGGAAATTCAAAATCAAACATCAATTATTTTAGGATAAAATATGGAGGCGTATCGTTGGAATTTTCAGGTTGGCTAAATAGGTTTCAGGAGAGTTTAGAGTTTTGGGTAAGTTTGTCTTCCCTTGTCCCGTAAAAAACCAAACAAAAAAGACAACAATTACACATAAACCATAGTTAGAAATAGTCATCTTGCAAGCCTTTTATAGAATCGTTGAAGTAGTTAGAAAACAGAAATTTATGATTCCCATATTCAAGTTCAAGCAGATTACCAAATACAAACTTATTAGGCAAATCTTTACTGGTTAGTAGTCATTATTTTTTATTTTTTATTGAGAAGAAACGATAACAATTTATTCGTGCATGAAATCAGTACAATCCTCACCTCAAAGCGATCCATGAGAAATCCAAGCCATAATCTATGAGCCATTATTTGCTCAACAGGATCAATGTCTGGCTGCGATTCTGGCTCTCCAGGAGAAAGGTGAGGCCTTAATTTTGCTGCAGGCCCAGAATGTTTCACATCAGATGCAAAGATACCACGTCTTGTATCAATGGTCCACAACCATGCATCAACAAGCTCCGCAAGGACTAGAGATCCCAGTTCAGGCGCAGCAGAAACTAACCAAGTCCAAACAAAAACGCCAGTTTCCATTGCGTCGGGCGTAGAAATGTAAGCTGGACACCAACAGAGAAGACGAAGAAGTTGTGAGAAGCCCTCTACATTTGATTTTGAATTAGAGCCCTGGAATCGAAAAAGAAAAAACCAAATCAGATCATCAAACATAATAGCTTAAGAATTGAGCAAGCAAGGAAGAAAAAAATAGGACATGTTTACCAGATTTGACAGCAGTAATGCAGTTGCTTGAGAACAAATCTGGCGAAACTGAGACTTCTCCACTTCCACACCTTTCTCTGCAGAATTAACAAATTGCTGTAGTAAACGCACAAACTTTGTGAGTAAGATTCCATTAAATGAATCGTCCTCAGCTTGTGTCTGTTGACGAGCTCCTGAGATCAACCTTTGAAGGCCGGCACCAATACCAAATCCAGTCGGTGTTGTACCAGATTGAAATCCACCAATGCTGTTATACAAGCTTCTCATGCCAGCAATTTCTCCAGCATGGTTGCACTTAACTGTTGCACTAACGATGCCGGTACTGAGCACCTCCAAATTGAAGGCTTCTAATAATTTCAAGTTTGCTCCTGATGCTGCAGCTGCAGCGGCCATGACTGCAGGAATATTAGCTGTTTGTATTCCATTCCAGCAATCAATTTTACCTGTGCCGATTCGTATTTCTGATAAAAGAGATACCACATCAGTTGTATGCTGCGATCTTTGCCACGTGTTTGCTTTACAAAGCTTTTCCTGCAGTTGCAAACAAAAGAAAAGAACAATGAGACAAAAAAGACATAAAAAAGCGGCTAAGATGTTTGATAAGCCAAAATAACGTGCAGGAATTAAAACACTCAACATATACACGTCCACTTGAGAAGCCTTTAGTGTTTAGCATTTAATTCTAGAGAACTTTAACGAAAGGCTCCTGGTACTGTTCACTTTAATGAAAAACCACATTTTTACACTAAAAAGTCAATCCTGGTACTATTCACTTTGCCCTTTATTTTGTCCTTATCGGTAAAACTCAAAGTTTTCAAGCCCCTTTCATTAGTTTTCCTTTAATTCTAAGCAACTCAAAGACAAATTAATATACTTGAAAGACCCATATTGCTGCACTTGCGAATTCTGAAAAAAAACGTAATTCTTCACACCCAAAACATTGATATGTGACAAAGAGACTCAAAGAAAACCAATAAAGGACCCCAAAGCAACAGACTGAAAATATGTGTAATTTGCGCTAATGAAAAAAGAAATTTCAATCATGCAGTGCTTGATACTTAGACAGTCTTATATATATCACAATTCGAACTTGGCTAAAAATATGGTTTTTCGTTAAAGTGAACAGTACCGGGAGCTTTTCGTTAAAGTTCCCAATAATTTAACTAAAAGAAATCTCATGTTGCTCAGCTACCAGCCTCAGTGTACATATCATATACACCTCCACCTAAACATTGACCAATTAAACTTCTTGGGTTGGATTTTAATTTGTTGTTTATTCACCAAATATAAAAGAAAATGAAATAAAAATGAATTAAGATTTCAGAAGTTTAATCATCACTCATCAAACAGGTTTGAATATACTAATTTCTGAATAAAAAACAACAGAAGTACAACGCAGTGGCCTAGAAGTCCAACACTATAAGTTTCAAGTTGAGCATATTCAGCACTTGTTTTCGGTTATAAGATTTGAGTATGTATGATTCAGTGATAAGTTTTCAGTACTTCATTTTAGTTTCAACAAACAGCACCTAAAAATGTGTACGTACATTAACTGAACTTACAACTAAAACATGTACAAGTTGTATATTACAACAACAACAACAACAACAACAACAAAGCCTTTTCCCACTAAGTGGGGTCGGCTATATGAATCCTAGAACGCCATTGCGCTCGGTTTTGTGTCATGTCCTCCGTTAGATCCAAGTACTCTAAGTCTTACAAGTTGTATATTAACACAATTAAAAAGGGTATAACATCTTAAAAGCAGAATACTTTAAAGGGTAAAAGATTTCTTGTAATAAGTAAGACCATAAGGTTGGGAGCAGCCTCTCCATAAATGGAGGTAAGGCTAGCCGACATTCACCTCTCCCAGACCCTGCGTAAAGCGGGAGCCTTGTGCACTGGGTACGACCTTTTAAGTAAGACCATAAGGTCATGATAACTGATATTGGGAGTCTGCAAATAAGAATACTCCGGAATATCATACTTAAAGATCCTTTGATGTAAGTTAATGTCAGAAAAAAGACAAAAAAAAATGACTACTCAAAATCCAAAACCTTAAAGAAAAACCAATTGTCGTCAAGAGGAGGTTCTCGCTGTTTAAAATTATATTATTTACCACTATGGGACTGGCATACCACATGAATGCTCATAGATTAGATAATAAGAATGAACTTATACTGACTACATAAATAGAAAGTATAGTGATCAACCTGGAGAAGACCCTGGCTAGAGCAAGGAGCATGTGAAAGTGATTTAACGATCCACTCTCGAACAATCTTTTGGTACAAAGAACGAACTGTCAGCACCCAAGCAGGATCATTGACAACAGTAGTAGGCGAATCATTATAAATTGAAAATAGCAGGGAATCAACACAAGAGGAATTCCACAAGACCTGCATCCATGTAGTTATGTTTCAACTTTACTAGGCAAGATTGATGACAATGAGAACTGGGAAATAATAGATATTAGTGTAACTTTACCAGTATAATCTTACCTGTGGAAACCTGTCTTTAAGCTGACTCAGCAAGTTCACAGAAGCTTCCCGGATATGTTCCTCTCTCTGTGACATACTTTTTATCAGAAAGCAAGCATGGGTAGAAAGTGTTGATTCCCTAACCTCAGCTTCATTGCCTGTTTCGGATATTCGATCTTCCTGAAAAGCAATAAGAGCAGCAGATGTGAGCACAAATGCACACACAAAAAGGAGCACAGATTAAGTCAAGCCGATATAAAGGGGAAAAAGCATTATTTTAGAAGCTTTATCAAAGAAGAAAACCATACCAGCCACGTCACTGCTGTTTCAAAAGCCCTATGCACAGTTGCCGTCAAGCATTGGAAGACAGCGGGCACAAGATTTGGAGTTTTTAGGTATTCAAAAACACAACTGAATGCACTTCTAGAAGAAGCTGAACTAGTGACACCATTGAGGATGCCACCATTGCTGCTGAATCGTATGATTTCCAAGAATGCTACCGCAAGAAGATAGGTAGCTTTCACACCTGCAAAGCATTACTTTAATTTTTGTGAAAAGAGTAACTATTAACAAAATCCAAGGAGCCTATTTTTTCTAATACAAAAATCAAAGATCAAAATTGTAGACAGTTAATGAATACAGAGAATATATCTTTACATCAGCAATAAATAAGCACTAGGGAGTAAGAAATATAATAACCTGATATAGTGTTTATTGCTGCAACCTCAACTCGCCCTCCTAGAGCAGTAGAAAGAGCAACTCTTTGGGCCAGAGCAACTTTCTCATTCCCACTCCCTTGACGACTGCCGGGATTTTGAAGAGCATTAAGTTCCAATTCATCTTCAAGCCATTTCACTGAGCTAACAACCTGAAAGAGACATTATCATGTAAAATTTCTCAAACAATCAGTTTCAAGCACATAAATATTTGCATTCATCCTGAGTTGAACAGAAGTTGAGTTCAATAAATTAGTGCGAAGGAAACTAGTAAAGACTAGAGGTAATCAGCCCCAGCAGACACAGATTCACATGGAGTTATAGCTGTTTAAACATCCTAACGTATTTTTGACAGCAGAAATGAGATAAGATGCAAGAAGGAAGTATTTATTTGGTTGAGGTGAATTCCCCGGTACATTGAAGAGAGAGTGTGTTGATTAGGTGTTAATATGTTGTATATACATTTAGACATACAGAGATGTTGATTAAGAGATAAAAGGATAGTGTTGTGTGTGTGTGTGTCCCTCAAACAAAATCTTCAAAGATTTTATTGCAAAAAAATCATCCTTGCAAAGATCATCCTTGTAGGAACGGTCTAGTTTTTAGATCTTCCTGCCTAGACCATCCTCGCAAAAAATCACTAAAGGCGAAAACCATTTAAACACTCAAAATAAATGGTTTTCATTTTGGCGTTTTCTTGCATACCATGTTCGTTTATTTTCTTCGCTACAATTTGATGTTTAATGATTTCCAACGCATCCAACTTTTTGTAAGGATGATCTCTGAACAATGAATTAAAAAATATATAGTTCAGATCATTGATATAAAACACGGATCGGTTCCCACAAGGTGTCCCTCAAATAAAGTTATTTGAGAAACTTCGCAATAGAAGGGGAATATATTTGCCTCGGTTGTGTTGTGCGTGGTTGGAACCATTCAAAATAGTGATTTATACATCTGGTACGAGAGCATAAGGCATAAACAACATGAAGAGAAACGATTCACTATTTTACATTGTGTAGCATACTTCTTGGGTTTTGTAACTCCAGAATAGTAATTTGAAAAATAAAAACTAAAATTTGGGAACATATCCTTGCAAAACTCCAAATCAAAGCAAGAAGACAACAACAACAACAACAAAGCCTTTTCCCACTAAGTGGGGTCGGCTATATGAATCCTAGAACGCCATTGCGCTCGGTTTTGTGTCATGTCCTCCGTTAGATCCAAGTACTCTAAGTCTTTTCTTAGAGTCTCTTCCAAAGTTTTCCTAGGTCTTCCTCTACCCCTTCGGCCCTGAACCTCTGTCCCGTAGTCACATCTTCGAACCGGAGCGTCAGTCGGCCTTCTTTGCACATGTCCAAATCACCAGAGCCGATTTCTCTCATCTTTCCTACAATTTCGGCTACTCCTACTGTACCTCGGATATCCTCATTCCCAATTTTATCCTTTCTCGTGTGCCCACACATCCCACGAAGCATCCTCATCTCCGCTACACCCATTTTGTGTACGTGTTGATGCTTCACCACCCAACATTCTCTGCCATACAACATCGCTGGCCTTATTGCCGTCCTATAAAATTTTCCCTTGAGCTTCAGTGGCCTACGACGGTCACACAACACGCCGGATGCACTCTTTCCATCCAGCTCATATTCTATGGTTGAGATCTCCATCTAATTCTCCGTTCTCTTGCAAGATAGATCATAGGTAACGAAAACGGTCGCTTTTTGTGATCTTCGCTAGATTGCTCCGGTCATTAGTGTGGATAAGTAAATAAATGATGATAGAGATAGGAAAGCAAACACAAGATGTACGTGGTTCACCCAGATTGGCTACGTCCACGGAATAGAAGAGTTCTCATTAATTGTGAAGGGTTTACACAAGTACATAGGTTCAAGCTCTCCTTTAGTGAGTACGAGTGAATGATTTAGTACAAATGACATTAGGAAATATTGTGGGAGAATGATCTCGTAATCACGAAACTTCTAAGTATCGGAGTGTGGTGTCGTCTTGACTTGCCTTATCTGTCTCATAGGTAGATGTGGCATCTTCTCTGGAAGTACTCTTCCTCCATCCAGGGGTGGTATCTTTAACTGGTGGAGATGCACAAGGTAATGTATCAATTTCACTTGAAGCTTACTTGTAGTTTCAGGCTTGGTCAAGCGCGATACAAACCATGTAGTAGGAGTCCCCCAAGTCACCGAGCTAGGAGGTCTGCTGAAAGAGGTGACAGACAAGGTAAGCAATCAGAGCTCCGACTGATTGTTCACCTTCTCCCCATCTTGCAGCAGCATGAAGGATAAAGAGAAGAAAAATGAGAAGAGATGATATGAGATACTTTTGCTTTTGAAGAAGTAACTTTCCACAGGCTTATTCTTGAACTGAGCTGGAGGGTTTTCTGGTTTCCTCCAGAGTATAAGGCCGACTGAAGAATTTGAGGGTCAAAACAAGTCCATCAAATCTAGAGTACGTTCCACCCTGCTGATATGGGATACTTTTGCTTTTGACAGAGTAATGGATGTATCGGCACGTGTGCTGTTACGCTTGTCTCCACATGCTTCCTTGTATCCTTCGCACTTGCCCCTATCTGTTCCTCAAGCAGATGCGGAATCTTCCCTGGAAACATAAGATGTTGAAGATGAGTACTCGAGAGCAATGCCAGGTAAGTAATCAGGTAAGGGGTTCCAGGCAGTCAGTTCCTGGCTGGAAGCTTGATTCCAAGTGCTGACTGATTGCTCTCTTTCTCCTTGTCTTGCAGGTAAAAACAAGGCCAAAAGAAAAAAACAGGAAAAAAGCATGATATGGGATACTCTTGCTTTTAACCCTGATGATATGAGATATTCTTGCTCTAGTATAGCTTGTTTGCAGAGGTATTATCGGGGGGAAAGAAAGCTGAATATTTCGAAAGGCTTTGTTGGGAGTGCCCTCTCAGATATGATGAAGGGTTGAGCATTTTTGCAGGTCTGCCTGTCCGTTGGGGATGGAGGTCGACATATATAGGAGTCTCCCTAACAACAAGTAGTAATGCTATTCCTTTACCCTGCTTGGTCATAGCACGGTAGTGGGAGCTGCCAGTTTCACATGTTTTAACTCTGTCAGAGCACTTTGAAAAAGTGGTCTGTGGTATCTGGCTCTCGAGATTCGGAGAACGATGCCTCTTCGATTTTTGAGAAAGCAATCATGTTGGGGGTCTGACTCTCGAGATTCGGAGAGCAGTGTCTCTTCGATTTTTGAGGAAGTAATCATGTTGGGAGTCTGGCTCTCGAGATTCGGAGGGCGGTGCCTCTTCGATTTTGGAGCAAGCAATCTTGTTGGGAGTGTTGTCTCGAATGTGAGTAAAGGTTGGACATGTTTGCTAGTCTACCTTGCCACGAAGCACAAAGGTTGACACATAGGGACTTTCCAATTATCCAGCAATGGTACTGTTCCTTTACCCTCTCTTCGATTTTGAGAAAGTAGTCATGTTGGGAGTCTGGCTCTCGAGATTCGGAGGACGGTGCCTCTTCGATTTTGGAGCAAGCAATCTTGTTGGGACTGTTTTCTCGAATGTGAGTAAAGGTTGGGCATGTTTGCTAGTCTACCTTGCCACGAAGCACAGAGGTTGACACACAGGGACTTTCCAATTATCCAGCAGTGGTACTGTTCCTTTACCCTTGTGGGTAATAATATGGTAGCTAGACCTTCAAAATTTATGTGTCTAAACTTTGTTAGTGCTGTTTCTTTGCTATTCTTTTACCTTTCTTGATCAGAGCGATGTAGTGGGAGCTGCAAGCTTCACGTGCTCAACTTTGGCAGAGAACTTTGGCAAAGTGATCTGTGGTACCCATGAGTTATTGTTGCATGTGGGAAGTGGGTGATTGAACAGTAAGATTCATGTGCTTTCTACTTCACCAGAAGTCTTCGACAGAATGCCCATAATTTCTGCAAAGCTGAGTGTGCGTGTGACAGGTGCTGACAAGGCTAGAAAAGTAGGTGCCTCTTTGATTTCTGAGATCGGCCCTCGTGGTCTCTGAGCAGCCCAGCTTTTGAGAAAGCGAGCGCCTCTTCGATTGATTCGGAGAACGGTGCCTCACCGATTTTTGAGAAAGCAATCATGCTGGGGGTCTGGCTCTCGAGATTCGGGGAGCAGTGTCTCTTCGATTTTTGAGAAAGTAATCATGTTGGGAGAGTGGCTCTCGAGATTCGGAGGGCGGTGCCTCTTCGATTTTGGAGCAAGCAATCTTGTTGGGAGTGTTTTCTCGAATGTGAGTAAAGGTTGGGCATGTTTGCTAGTCTACCTTGCCACGAAGCACAGAGGTTGACACACAGGGACTTTCCAATTATCCAGCAATGGTACTGTTCCTTTACCCTCTCTTCGATTTTTAAGAAAGTAGTCATGTTGGGAGTCTGGCTCTTTAGATTCGGAGGACGGTGCCTCTTCGATTTTGGAGCAAGCAATCTTATTGGGAGTGTTTTCTCGAATGTGAGTAAAGGTTGGGCATGTTTGCTAGTCTACCTTGCCACGAAGCACAGAGGTTGACATACATGGACTTTCCAATTATCCAGTAGTGGTACTGTTCCTTTACCCTTGTGGGTAATAATATGGTAGCTAGACCTTCAAAATTTATGGGTCTAAACTTTGTTAGTGCTGTTTCTTTGCTATTCTTTTACCCTTCTTGGTCAGAGCGATGTAGTGGGAGCTGCAAGCTTCACGTGCTCAACTTTGGCAGAGAACTTTGGCAAAGTTATCTGTGGTACCCATGAGCTATTGTTGCGTGTGGGAAGTGGGTGATTGAACAGTAAGATTCATGTGTTTTTCTACTTCCCCAGAAGTCTTTGACAGAATGCCCATAATTTCCGCAAAGCTGAGTGTGCGTGTGACAGGTGCTGACAAGGCTGAAAAAGTAGGTGCCGCTTCGATTTCTGAGATCGGCCCTCGTGGTCTCTAGGGAGCCCAGCTTTTGAGAAAGCGAGCGCCTCTTCGATTTCTGAGATCGGCCTTCGTGGTCTTTGAGCAGCCCAACTTTTGAGAAAGCAAACGGCTCTTCGATTTCTGAGATCAACCCTCGTGATCTCTAAGCAGCCCAACTTTTGAGAAAGCAAACGCCTCTTCGATTTCTGAGCAAGCGCCTCTTTGATTTCTGAAGCTCCGTCGAGTGCAGATTTTTATAGGGGC